GCATAACTCTTTGGTGGAAAAACCAAAAGAAACTGATAGGAGCCTCAAATCAAAGAGTCCATTAACTAACCATCCCACGCTCTCATGAAGAGCTTCCAACAGCTTTCTAGGGCCTTATAAGTGGAGAATAAAAGACATTTGAGAAAAGTCTCCAACATGAAAGGCAAAGACCAAAACAGAGAAACAAAATTTTTAAGAAATAATGGAAGAAAACAGAACAAATTATAATTAAGAAGCACCTCAGGGAATGGGATAAGTTTTTATCCTTTTATTTCACCATAGGACATAAGTTTCTTCTCTTACTAGAAGGTTACCATCCTACAACCTCAGAGCGATAGGCCAAATAACAGAGAGAAGCCACAAAAATAAATTCCAAGTCTTTTCACTTCTCTGCATCCCTGTCTCCACTGCCATAATCCAAGCCAGCATCATCTTTTACCTGGACCATGACGATAGCCCCCCAAATCCAAAAAGTCTCCCTGCTTCACACTAGTCTCTGCCAAACAACTCTACAAAGAACACTTAGAGTGATTTAAAAAAAAAAGAGTCCAACAATTTCAGGCCCCTGATTAAATTTTGTCAATGGCTTCCTATCAAACTTGGCATAAAAATCCAATCCTCTTGCACTGGCCAACAAGGTCTTATATCATTTCATCTGTCTGCTTCTTCAACTTCATCTCCTCCCACTCCACTTCCCATTCTACCCATTCTTCTCCTTTCCCACCTGCCAGTCACACCCAGTTCTTTCTGCTCTTAGAACACAAGTTTGCTCTTACCTCAGCTTGTCCTGCCTAGATTCCTGTATATGGCTGCTCAAGTTGTTTAACTGTGTATTGTCTCTCCCCATTGTTACATAAGCTCCATGAGAGCAAGTACCATGTCTATCTCATTTACCCCTATCACACCAGCATCTAGAAGAGTACCTGGCAAGTAGTATGTGCCCAATAAATATTTATTGAATAAATAAAATTATAATTTAAAGAGCTCAAAGTTTCAAGGGTAAAGGTGAAGTGGTATAAGATGAAAAAATGTTGAACCATTCAGCAAATTCCATCAGGAGATATCAAAACTTTATTGATGTTAGGATCAACATTTCCCTTGACCCAAGTAGGTTTCAGTGTGAAAAATTCTAATCTATTGTCTCAGTGTCAATATCCTAGTTGTGATAGTATGCTATAGTTTTGCAAGATGTTATCACTGAGGGAACTGGATAAAGGATACACAAGATCTATTATTTCTTACAATTGCATGTGAATCTACAATTATCTTAAAATTAAAAGTTTAATTAAAAAAATTCTAATCTAGGGGCCGGCCCGGTGGCACAGTGGTTAAGTGCTCACACTTCCCTGCGGTGGTCCGGGGTTCGCAGGTTCGGATCCCAGGCGTGCACTGATGCACCACATGTCAGGCCATTCTGTGGCAGTGTCCCATATAAAGTAGAGGAAGATGGGCACAGATGTTAGCTCAGGGCTAATCTTCCTCACAAAAAAAAAATAAAAAATTCTAATCTAGAGGTAAGAATTTAGTATTCATTCAGCTTGCTTATGATGTACCACCCCCAAAATGTATCCCTCCACAGAATGTTCTGTGATGGTGAATGTTCACTGATGGAACTTAGGGTAATAAAGGAAGTCTCCATTTCTGGTAGATGATATATTTTTCCTGGAGCTGAGAACATCCGACTCTGTTCTTAACCACACATAGCACCTGGCCCATAGTCAGTGTTCAATAAATATTTATTCAATGAGCTAAGTATTTCTGAGAAAGCCAAAATGGCATCCAGGCACAGGCTGTGAATTCATAACACTGCCCATCATGGCATTCCAATGTGGAAAGACACCAGCACCAAGACACGTCTATAAATGGCTCTGAATCATTCACAAAGCACTTATTCTTAAACAATAAGATGCCCCAAATGTACAGTTGACCTTATCCACATATCTCTAATCACTCAATTCTTCCACACAAATTGCATTACATGTAAGGTAGGATGAAGAAATACTCTCAGGCCATCTATAGAATCTTGTTTTGTTTTTTTTTAATTTTTTAACATCTTTTTTTAACTTCATTTATTTTTCCCCCCAAAGCCCCAGTAGATAGTTGTATGTCATAGTTCCACATCCTTCTAGTTGCTGTATATGGGACTTGGCCTCAGCATGGCGGGAGAAGCGGTGCATCGGTGGGCGCCCGGGATCCGAACCCTGGCCGCCAGCAGCGGAGCGCGCGCACTTAACTGCTAAGCCACGGGTCCGGCCCAGAATCTTGTTCTTTAAATGGACAGTGAAATAGTCCTGGTCTTACTAACAAATCAAAGCCCTTTCTAAAAATTGACTAGTCAGTCTGGTTTGGGAAGGACGGCTGCATCAGGAAGTAATTAACCACATGAAGAGAACCTACTTGACTTGTCAATTCTGGTAAAGGTTGAAGTGTCTGCATCTCCTGGTTGTGTTTATTTTTCCTTCTATTTAAAGAACAGTTAATGGATAAAACAGCATACTTTTCTGTTGTATCAATCCATTCAGCCAATCTATATACTTAAGAAATGCTTTTGGGACTGACATCCTCTAAAAAAATATTTTAAACATTTTACTTTCACTTGATTTATCATTTTATAAAAGTTACAATCCCTTCAAAGTTACAAATTAAAATTGACTATTTGATATAAACCAAGTTCTTCTGAGCCTTTTTCTTCGATCACTTATATAACCGTGAATACTTCCTCCTTTACCCCACGAAAGAGCAACTTTATTTTTCCCACAAGCTGTCTAAACTGAGCTCTAAACCAAGTTGAGCAGCTGCTGCCCTTGAAGCTGATTAGTAAAACACAAAGTATTCAACGTAACACGGGAGTTGATTTAAACCGATAAAGAGCAGGAAACTCAGAGGTGAAGGTAAAACCAGCTCCTGACATGCCCCATTGTTCCCTAGCACACTAAGGCACTCATCACATTAGGTGACCTCATATCTCATCTGGACTAAATACCAAAGCTGAATGCATCTATTTAAGGCAGAGGTAGCCTCATCCTTGAATTTCCAGATTTAAATCACTGTTATCCTTTCTCATTTATTTTCTAAAGTGGCAGCTTTTATCTATAAGAGTAACTGAAGAAACACAGGCCTCGTATGGAGGAGGCAGCTGGGAGACTAGTATATCCTCCTCAATTGTGTAGAAGAGAATCTTTGAAGTTTAAGTTTAGCAGATGTATCAACCCTGAATATTAACACTGTCCTATGAAAGAAACTAGCTTTACAAATAAAGCCTAAAAAAAGTAAGCCAAGCTTATAGTTCTTCAAGCTATCATTACTCAGCTGTAGCATCAAAACACTATGCAAAAGTTTAAGTCAGTCAATTTTAGAACTTACCTGTAAAAAGGAACTATTTTCTGCTCCTAGTTTTGGCATTGACCCTAATACCTAACTTCCATTGGAACTACCCCTTCATCTTCTTTCCAAAACCTTCAGATTGCAGACCACATTCCATACTCAGCCACAGAACTAGGCCATGAAAAAAAAACCCAAACAAACAACAAAGCAAATTCTCGTTCCAGCAAAAAAAAAAAAAAAGTCAGTTTAGGGTAATTGGGGAATCCTTTAAGTTGATATATATTCCATGTGGTCCATTTGTAAACAGCCATATATAAGGGAGATTTATCTTCAAACAAGTTCAATTGTATATTGCCACCATTACTCTAATGCCCTTTCCATTCTAGATATTTTTTACCTCCAGGAATGACAAAAGATACAGAACTCTTGAAACATGATTTCTCTTAGACTTGCAGCCTCATTTACAAAAGAATAGTGACTCCTTCAAGTTACACAACAACAAGATGACAAAGTTATTTGGAAACTAGGCCACCTAAAACTTCTCCCTTTGTTTCAGTCCCATTTTTCCGAAAAATGTTTGAGAGGAAACAACCATGAGCAGATAACTGAGCATTCATGTCAGATGTGCAGGTTTGTAATGTGCATGTAAGATAGCACCAGGAAACAATCTCAAAATGAAATTAAGAAAACAATTCCATCCACAATAGCATCAAAAAGAAATAAATTTAACAATAAAAAGCATAAAACATACTCGAAAACTACAAAACATTGTGAAAAGAAATGAAAGATCTAAATAAATGCAAAAACATCCCATGTTCATGGATTGGAAGACTTAACATTGTTCAGATGGCAATACTCCCCAAACTTATCTACAGATTCAACACAATCCCTATCAAAATCCCAGCTGGCTTCTTTAGACATTAAGCACTAACAAAAGATCATTTAAAGAATGAAAATTACTTCTTGCATCTAGGAGTTACTTTTGGCTTGTAGATTAGGGTTTTAGAAACTGAAGCAGAAATCACTGCATCAGCCCTAACTCTGTCTCCCTAAGGATCTCTCAAGGTAGATGTATTGAAAATCCACATAAAAGCCCTCATATCCAAACAAGGCCTGCTCTGTAAATAACCTCACCACTGCCAGCTTGGTTTAATGGGAACAGTCCTAAATCCACTTGGAAAAAAAGTCTGTGGGAGTGGAGTGATGGGAGCTAATTGAGGGAAATTGACAAAAACAAATAAAAGAAAAACAAAGAAAAAAAGTTCCTTGACGTCCTTCCATAGGGTCAGAGTTTTAAACATACAAAGGAGAAAATGCATTTTAAAAATCTTAAACATTGCATTTTCTTGGAAAAATCTGCAATTTCCTTTAAATGGGACAAATGTTATATTGTTTGATGCGAATCAATTGATGTATACAAGCCATCTAACAAGCAGAGTTAGTATACTGTATACCAGTCACACTACCACAACAGAAATGCGTTGTTGCAAACTCTCTAATCCTAGTGAATCTCACTTCATCAGAATTGAGGTCAAGAAGTTAGCCTCTCTTTCACTCTGAAAGAGATCAAAAGTTGAGCCAAGACTAGCTTTTAGATACACTTCCTCTCTCACCCAAATGACCATTTAAAAGTAATCTTTATTTAATAAAAAAAAAAAACACATGGGAAATTTATACCACTGACAAGAATTTATTCTTCCATTAAATAAGACTACAGCACTCTGAATTGTCTACTTAGAGCTGCAATTCCATCCAAGATTCATACTAATGAAATTTTTTTTTTCTTACATCACAAACAAGACTCCTACGAAAAGGAAAAAAAAAATCGCTCAGGGAAAAAAATTTAAAGCTTTCCAAAATAACTATGTTACATTTACATTGGAAATAAAAAAGGCAGATGTTACTGCTTTACGCTGATAGATGCCATAGAATGTGCTAATCTACACAGGCTCCTCCTTATACAACACACATTGCATTATATTTAGAGATGTGACACATGAAGCTTTCTCCTGAAGGCACAGATAGGCGAAGGGCACTTACTTGGCCAAAGAGGCTCAAGGAAAATATGTTAACGACAGGTGCACTTAGTGGCTATCATATCTTCATATTCTCTATAAGTGATTGAGCCATCGGGCTCAATGGTCAAGACACTCAAAGGGCTGTATTTGGCAGGTACACATGATGGTCTTGGCACTGAAGAGTCAAGCTTCTCATGGATGATGTTCTGCACCATGGTGTGAACTGGAGAGCCATACCGATGCCCAACTGCTCTGGGACAGTCCCCTTTACAGTACCGAGGGTTGTATCTTTGCGGGGCCACAATCCAGTTGTCCCACTTCAGCTGACTAAAACTAAGTCTAAAGTCATGGAGCTCACACTCATTTTGGGGAAAAATAAACTGTCTGAAGTACTCAGTCAGATTGAAAGAAGCTGGAACCAGAGTCTTCTTCACTTCAGAGCTGCCAGTTTCCTGACTTCTCCGGTGACGGGAAGATCTTACACCCTCAGCAGCCTCTTCTCCCATGGGACAGGCAGACAGATCTCTCTTCTGGTCACGACCCTGTGAAGGCCTCCTTTGATAGTGGAGGGAAAGCCACCTGTGATAAGCCTGAGCACTTGTGTCGTTCAGATATAAAAGCAGTGAGGGGAACAGCGGAAAAGTCATGTTAAGTGGACTGTCCTGTGCTGACGGATGCTGCAGCTGGTCTTCCCCGCATCTAAAGTTTACAGACATGTGAATATTTCTCTTGTTGGAGGCCACTAGAGGCTGAAGGAGAGTGGTCACATCCATTTCAATCCATTTATATTTCTTTCTAAATTCAAACTGTGAGTTAAAGGTAAGTGAGTATGCAGCTCTAGGGAGAGTCTTGCTAGAAAACTCTGGCTCTTTTATCACCAAGTTGCACACACATTTAACAGCAGAGGGAAAAGAAACTGAGTTGTTGAACGTGTATAGCAAGACCGACTTGACTAAGTGTTCAACAGCAGTAACACAATCCAGGTTAAACAGCAGGTCCACTGATGGAACGGTTCCTGAGCAGAAAAAACAACCCACCAGTAGTGCTTGATTACAAATTGAACATAATAGGAAGTCAAATCAAGACATTAGTACTTTGTAATGTGCTTTCTCCCTTCTCTTTTCCCACTTCCTCAAGCCTCAAAAGGGGGGCGGGGTGGGGCAGTTACACAGAAAATGCAGGTAATTGGTACCATAACTAATTCCCAGCAACTACAACTGGATATTTTATCACCGGAAGGTCAGAACAGCTTTTGTGGTGAATTAAAACAGGGAATCATTACATTCTCAAGTTCAGAGTCTTAATAATTTGCTCTAAACACAGAAGAAGCTAATAAGGAAAGTAGTATTTACCCTTGGAGAGTCTCTAGAGGGAAAACTATAATAAAAATATTAACATGCTTATTAAGAAGATATTCTAAGCCCTAATGGACAAAGTCAATAAAGAAAACTTAATTGTCTAAGTTAATCTGAAACACCTGAGGTTGATGACAAATAGAGGCTCTAAAACCACTGGAATAAAATAGGACGTCAAGCAAGGAGGAAGGGTTTTAAACAGCTGCAACTGACCTGTTGAGTTAGAACGATTTTAAGTCATGAGCTGGTGAATATACATTTTTTTTTTTTTTTTTTAAAGCACTGCTCCTTTCGCTCTCACACACAAGAGACCAAGGTGCTGAGTCAAATAGTTAATACAGTTCGTGTAAGGACCTACTGTTCCAATGGGACCTAAGCTTTCCTCTCACAGAAAGCAACACACAAAGGGAAAACATCCTGTGTTAACAAAGCATACCAGTAGCTATGAAACATTTCAGGCACGTTTCCAGGCCAGCATTGGTACAATGGGAAGAATACGCAACTGGAAGTCAAAATACCCGGTTTCTAGTCTTGCTTCTGTGACCTGGGACAAGATGCTAACCTTCTCCAGTAGCATTTTCCTGCGCCTTTAGGGCCATTAAGTCTTTTCTAGCTCTAAAATCCTATCGCATTAGCCCACCTTAACCCACAGGGCATTAGGAAGAAAGTAAGATCAAGTACCAGATTTGTTTGAATTTGGATACCGAGTACCACACAAAATGCAATTCAAGGAGCAAGGCCCAGCACGTTTCTGCAATTGAAAAGCAGAAGAGTCGATCATCTTCCCTCCACCCATTAACCAATCTGCTCCTACACACCTGTCACCTGGTCCCCAGGAGCCTGCTTGTGCTGGGCACAGGGGGTGAAGAGCCGGACAGTGTTGTAGAGGTGGCTTCTGTTGGATTTAGGGATCCCCTCCTTGGTAGCATATGCCTTATAGAGCCTCTTCATGTAGCGCAAAGCTCTGGAGTCTGGCTGCAGCCTAGGAGCCCCACCTTGCCCATCATACAGAGCCTTGAAGAGAGGGGGAAGGAGGCCAGATCTGTTTCCCCCATCTAGAGGCTGCAGCAAGGACCAAGGCTCAGCCTCAGATTCCAACTCAACACTAGCTGCCATCGGAGCTTCTTCCCTAGAAGCCTGAGTACCAAGGCTAACAGGAAAACACAGCCAAGCAGAGCAGCAAAACCAAAGGAAGAACTTGCTGGGAAGCGCCATGGCTTGGAAGCATTAGCAAGGAACACATCTCCCCATGCCAGTCTTCTTCCTAAAAGCCAGGAATAGCCTACGTTGGTCTCTTAAATAAAATTTAGGTGTGTGGGTGGGCTAGGGTCACTTCTGTAATCAGACTTCAAGGATGCCTAGCTGAAGATAATTTTTATCAGCTGTATATCAAACAGCTGATAACACCCTATTTACCCAATTTGTCCTCATTAGATATGGATTTATTTGGTTATTTAGATTTCCTCTCCCTTCTTCTCGGCATTTATTTAAAACTTCTTATCTTTATACTAATGGACTAGCTATGTAGCTGAAAGGCTAAGAGAAATTGAAAAATGATCTTAAAACAAATCCATTTTCTGAGCGAGATTAGGATTCTTAAAATATTCCTTACGTGCTTGCTGAAACTTGCAAGGCACGTGGAAAAGCCAACTAATTATTCATGATGATTCACAGATCTGTTGGTATGCAATTGATGGTATTGGGTTTCCTCTTCCTCTCCATCCTCACCACCTCTCCCACTTCCAGGTGCTTAGAATAATTATTTACTGCATTGTTGATTTGGAGGGTGAGAGAAAGTCACAGCTGGCATTGAAATTCCAGACAGCAGAGAATTGGTACTTTGCCTAGTTCACCCAGGTTGCTTAGTATAGGATATGTACTTGCAACACTGCAGTATGTTCAAAAAAGGAGGACATCACCTTTAACCTTGACTCATGTTTAAACATAGTATCTTGACTTTAAAACAAAAACTGTAAAAAGAGACAAGGGCATTACATAATGATCAAGGGAACAATCCAACAAGAGGATATAACACTTGTAAATATCTA